AATAAATAATTTTGTACAATAGGAATGGAACATGGTATTGAACTGGGTAGTATTGTTTGGGGAGCTGCATGAAATGATTATATAACAAGGTGAAAATTTCAAAGGGAGAAAGTCATGAGCATTTGGAAGAAGCAGTAAAATAAGACAGATAATGATTTTCAAAATGAGAGGGGGATGGGCATCTTCATTTGAAGACAGGAGCAAGAAATGTATTAGGAATATGTACTGGGGACTCCCATAAAAGCAGAGCCAGGGTGTGGGTAGTAGAAGCTCTCTAGGCCAGGGGTGGGGATGGGAGAGGGAGTTGTGCTGGGAAGCCTCCAAATTGGAGAAAGCTGAAGAGAGCATTGGGACAGAATAGTGTGCAGATGATGGAAACTGTTGCTTCAACAGTCTCTGTCTGCTTGCTTCTTTCGGCTTCCCCTGTCAGGAAAGAGTAATCACAGTACTGCTAGAGGGTGCTGAGCCATGAGCTCCCCTGCTATTTTAAAAGCTATATGTGTGTGGTAAGGTGGCAGGATGGCTTCAGGCCTTCCCAGGAAGCCACAGGCACCCACCACTCCTGGCCCTTGTGCTGTTGTCCTGCTTGGTACACAGCGGTCAGAAGGGACCTCTGGAGATCATCCAGTCCAACCACCCTCTCAAAGCAGGACTGCTAGCAACACCAGGTCTGGTAACCTTGCCTCTGTCTAGCCAAGTCTTGGATGACTGTGAGACTATGAAAGTTTTTCCCCAGGTCTGACTCAGAGTGAGAGTTGCAGTCCAGGAGCTTATACTTGCAATTAGGGTTGAGAATGTTCCAAACAAGAAGTAGTAATATAGAGTCTTTTTGGCCATTAATAACAGGAAACATTTTTTTTCCCCTAATTCTCTATCTTTGCGCATTTTCCTTCTTTGTCATAGTGGTGCTAGTTTTTGAATAGTGCCAAGGTAATGCTGAACAATTCCTAATTGGCTCGGTATGCACATTTTGACTTGCCTTGGAGTCAAATGCATGTTTGTTCCTTCTCTTATTTCTAGCGATGCTTCATTGCTGTGAGAGAAAGAAATCTGGATGTTTTTCTAAATCGAGTGTCCTTTTTGAAATTAACTAAGTCTTCATTAATGGTGCAGAAATCCTCATTAATGAGGATAAGACAGTTGGCAGAGGCAGCTCAGTTTGGCATTCCAAATCCCAGGCTAGGACTGGCAGATTAAGATACAAATTTAATGAAAAAGGCTGTGAATGAAGGAGATACAGGTCCTTATCTGTCATTTTCTTTTCTTAGTGAGATTTGTGCAGGGAATGCAAAATCATTGACAGACAATTACAATCTCTTTTTTCAGCATATGATTTCACTTTAGACCATGTTAGTGCTGAGTGAAAATTTACAGCAGGAGAGGAAGTGTACAAATTCCTAAAATTGGTGAAATGGTCATAGGGCCAAGATTTAATTTTCTGGGTAGAAACCAGCTATAATAAGCCTAAACAGTGTTCTGGATCTGTGAGAAAGGTGAAGATCTGGAAACATTTTTCTCTCTACTAGGCCCTGTGTTTTGGAATATGCCACATGTTGAGGCTACCTCAATACAACATCATTTGTCACCAATAAGAAAGTCTGCAGCATGAGTGTTGTTTTATTCTAGTTAAAGTTGTTGCTAATTGATCAGTGCTCCCTGTCTCACTCTTTCAATTTTTTTCTGTCACCATCTGTCCCCATCAGGGGCAACAACCACTCAAGCATGAATGTGACCGGGCTTGCTTCGGTGCTGTACTTGTTCCATTCAATGCACTATGCAGCCGTGTACATGTAGTTTTCCTCTTAGTCTGTTTTTCAGATTATTTTTATAATCAGATCTACCATACAGAAGCAAATGAAGAAAAATCAGACAACGGTGGTAGGAGTTGTGGAACAGAGATCCAGGCGGAGCCCTTTCCCAAACCTTCCAGCAGCTGTATTTGGCATACATGAATTCACTCTTGCAGCTTCAAACCTGGGTCCTTGAGCATTCCTTAGGCTGACCTGAAGGGCAATACCACTTTGCTTGACAGATGAGATTTTGCCCAAAATAAGAGACTTTTATATTTTTTCTAGAGCGTTAGATGCGGTCTTTCATTTCTTTTCAGTGCTTTGAACTTTCCATTATGGGGGTTGTTTCTTACATTTTCCAGTCTCTCCTCCCATGACAATTCTTTACAGCCACAATGCTGCTTCTATTCTTGGCTTGAAAGGTCAGCAGTGGTTGCCCTTTGAGAAAGCTGTAATTGAGTCTTTCCTCATTCGGTGAGTCTGAGGCTGCTAACCCTCTTCGTAAAGACTCTAGAATTTTTCCTCTGTAGTCCGTCTTTTTTTTTTTTTTTCCATCTCTAATGAAAAAAGCAAGCCGCCACAATTTGGTATAGGATTTTCATAAGCTCCCTTCAGGTCTTGTAATATTCAAACTAACATGTGTAGGACTCAGAATTTTTAGAGCCTTCCTTAGTACACCTGACATTTGCAGGTTTCAGCGCTGTCAGGTGCTGTATCCTGCAGCTCTCCAATGCTACTTTCACAGCAGTGATTGTTGTTACTTCCCTGGCTTCTGTGCTATTTGTCATTTGCTGCAGAAGTTATCTGTGAGTTTTGTTTTCACATCTTGTATTGCCATTGTGAAGAACTGTTCAGTCAGCAGTGGTCTCCATAAGAGTCTGTCAGTATAATTTTTATTTGGTCAGTTGTCTGTTTTGGTCTGACTTTCTAGGGAACAGAAGCTGAAACCCCACTCTTTCCCCGTAGCAGCTTTGGAATTTACTTATCCATTTTAGCAAAATGGCAAAGATCTTGTTTAATATGCTCACTTAAAGAGAAGCTACAATGCACATTTAGTCCTTATCAAACATCTTAAAATTGGCATCCAGGATAATACTTATGAAATCCCAGAATCCTTTGGAGTTTATACCATCTTAAGCACCAGAGAATTTAACCCATCAATCCGAACTTCTCTCGTGTGTGGATTCTCTAATGTCTGATAGGTGGTCAGCTCATTTTACAACCTCAGTATATTTAGTTAAAACAAGGCACAAGTAGTCGGTAACAGAGCTTTGTAAGATCCACTGTTGACAAAAGTGTTTGTTTCAAATTTTAACCCAGATTTTGGATTACCCAAATATAATTCTGCTGCAGAGATATAAGCATACTTACTTACATTAACATTAAAATTATAGTAATTAACCATTTTCTACCAAGATGTGAGGCTGTTTGATTAATTTGAAATTGATATATGTGTAAACTGTTAACAAACATTTAATTCCGTCATATCCTTTACAATATCATTGGTATACATATAAGAACATCAGGAAATAGACTTAGTTAATGATCTTTACCTTCAAGTCCACACGAACTGCCACAAACATATGAAGGAACTTTAATCTAAAGTAAGTACCAGGGCAGTTCTGCAAAGTTTAACTTATTCCTTGGTGACATAAATATCCAATGTGTCTTCTTCCAGAAGAAACTGTAAAATTAGAAAACCTTTGATTATTATTTGGTGGTGTTCACTGATGAATGCAGTGCAGGTACCCTCTTCTCAGTGTTAATCATTGCTCCTTATTTATGTAATGTCATTTACATAAAAGGATTATGTGGTTTGGCCAAGATCTGCACTTCTATGGTGTCTTGTAGCAGCCATTATGGTGGCACTTGATCATCAGATGATAGTATCACGGAATAATTGAGATAGGAGGGGAACTCTGTAGGTCATCTGGTCCAGCCACTTTGGTTTCCAGGATGAGCTGCTCCATCAGTTTTCCAGGATTCAAGGTGAACCTGGCTGGCTTGTAGTTCCCTGGGTCCTCCTTCTTGCCCTTCTAGAAGATGGGAGTGACATTTTCTTTCCTTCAGTCGTCAGGTACTTCTCCCGGTCATTGTGTTTGATCAAAGATTATCAAAGTGACTTTGCAATGACATCAGCCAGCTCCCTCAGCACTCATGTACGCATCCCATCAGGGCCCATGGTCTTATGTACGTCCAGTTTACCTAAGTATTTCCTGACTGGATCCTCTTCCACCAAGGGTACATCTTCCTTGCTGCAGCCTTTCCTCATGTTCTCTAGAACCTCGGATTCCTGAATCAGGTCAGATGTAAGTCTGTCAATTCATTCAGGCTTTTGCCATGGCTGAAGCTGGCAGGTCTGATGGATAAGGTTGGAACTGCATTTTAAAAGGCACGTGTTTTCTCTGTGAAAACAAAACTTAAGTAGGTATTTAAGGACACCTTACAAAACCTAAGAACAACTGCTGCAGATGTTCCAGGTGATACCTGTGAATGGGATAGAATATGTGGAAAATCTGCATGGGCTTTTATAGTCAACACTGACAAAATCCAAAATGTTAGAGGTCCTTTTTATGCAGGTCGATGACCCATGCTAAAAATCTCTCTGTGGATGTAGCAAGAAGAGATGTGTTTAACCAGGGGCTTGTGCTGATGCATTCCATTACTGAGCTGGCTGGAACAGACATTGCCATAGTGGATAAGATGCCATTAGAACTGTACCTTTATTACTGTTCCGCTGATTCAAACAGTGGATAAATCTATCATCCACTCTTGCTGCTTAATAACCACCTGTCATTGTCCTTGTAATGTAACACTTTTTCATTAGATTCAGAAATAAGACACAGAAAAGGATAGCAAATGGTCCTCGGAAGTCTTTCCCAGACAGATAAATGCTACTCACAATAAAGTGAGTTGTTATTATTAGCATTGTGATGTTAATGAAAATTATGGGCAATTAAGTGCTCTTGAAGCTGCCTTTTCCCTTTCTGTGTAGTTTTTTGATTATATTTTTTTTACTGCAGAAGGCTTAAAAAAGACACCCACACGGTTTGCAGAAGTTGGAGAGAAATGGTGTGTGTTATTTATGCAGCGGAAATTCTCAGGAAGCAGGCTAGATGAGGAAATCATTGTCTAGTTTGCTACTTTAAAACTTTTGAATAATGGTCACACACTATACCACAAAACTGATGTTGTTACGTTTTCTTTTAGGAACGTCTCTTGATGAGTCTTTTGCCCAGGAATGTTGCAATGGAAATGAAGGAAGATTTCCTGAAGCCTCCTGAAAGGATTTTCCACAAGATTTACATTCAAAGGCATGACAACGTTAGGTAGGATTGATGTGGCCCAGGAAATAATTTAAAGCAGAGAATATTTAGTACAAATATGTGATGTGCAATTGCAGTCAGGTCTTAGAGAAAAAAAACAAGCAGTACAGTGAAGATTTATCATTTATGCAGAGGGGGAGAATGGGTGCACTGGGAAGACTTAATAGTCTTCTCAGAAGATAACGGTGAATCAATAAATGTCTTAGAATAGTAGTGCTGGGAGGCAGACAACTTTTTTCAAATGAGTAGTCATTCTTTTTGTACTGTATTACGCTTTGGGTGGAGTATTTATTTTGCATGGTAAGTTTTACACATTCTTATTTTCCTGACAGTAAGATGGATTACTTCTAATGCAATAGATTTCCTGGGTAATAGCATGGAAATACAGAAGCAAAAAAAGGCAAAAAAGGGTGTATTTGTCCCCATCGTATGAGCAGTCCTCCTCAGAGATTATTGACTAAGGCTTAATTCTACTTCTTGCTTTTGTTCAGCAAATGACTGTTGTGCAAGTGCCACAACAACTGGTTGTTGTTAAAGTGCATTCTTATTTGCTTTCTTCTCTTTTTCCCCCCCCCCCCCCCCCCCAACAAATTACTTAAAGACCTTGTCGGAATTGTATTGTTTTATCATACTGCCTCTAGCTGCTTTTTCTCCAAGTGCCTTGCTTCCACACCAAAAATAGCATCCAAGAGGTATACTTGGTGCCACTCTTGCACTAAGCAAGGTGCAGAGCTGCCTTGATTCGTGTCATGTACTCATGTGGCAAAGGAGTAAACTCCTTTAGCACCTCCTCCTCTCCCTCATGCACTGGTAGGTTGGGCTTCAGTCTATCTGCCATTGAGCTGGCTAAAGTATTTGCAAGGACCTCTTTTCCTAGTGACTAAGCTGTCACAGCTAAAAACATTTATGTCAGTGAGAGAATCAGAGATGGCAGTGACGGGAGTGTTTAGAAGACTCTAAAATTAGGTCAGTTTTACACTGTAAAATTAACCATTACTGAATTTATTCCTGAGCAGCTCACTTCGTTCTAATGGTTAAATCTTAGATAATGTTGATCATCCTCACTATGTATACGAAACTCTTGGTCTTTAGCAATCAATTTAAATTAACTCTAAGTGTACAGTCCACCAGAGCTGATGCTGCAAAGCTGATGCTGCATTGTTGGTTACAGTCTTTGTTCTCAAGTGCTAAGGAAAAAATTCAAGATCGAAGTGGGCTGACTTCCCTCTTCTCCAATTTTCCTTGTTTATGCCTTGTGCTTTTATGCTGTTGCCTCCCACCAACACCATTTGTCTTTTTTTTTTGTCAATCTTCCATCTTTGGATGATGTCCGATCTATTTGCAGTCACTTGTGCTTATCTTGTCTGCTGCCTGCCAGATTTTTGTTGCTTGGGTGCCTTTTACTGCCTTTGTTTTTCCCTTTGGTGATCACATGGCTTATATACTTACGAAAATTGTGTCTAGTTATGCTGCCACAGTGCCATGAAACACATGTATACTATTGTTGGTTGCACTTATATTCAGGTTCAAGGCAAGCCAATGATAATTGTATCCTGATTAGTACATTTATACCTTGTATGTGTCACAGGTCTCTGCATTGGTTACAGTGTGGGTATTCATCTTAAACAGGATTGCTTTGCAGCTGGATTGGTTGATCATAATGCTTCTGAGTCCTCTCTTGCACTGAGATCTTTTTGAAATGTAACCTACATGAAATGGTGTTCCATGTGACCACTAAGGTTGCTGTGGCTTACTCACTGCTTTGATGTGGAGTGCATAAGATATTTTGAACCTGAATACCCTGTCTACAGAGGTGAATTCGTTCTCTGACATTAAGGGGGTACTTTCAAGGCAAATGGAGGCAAAGTAAGATGATATCATTTTAATGTCAAAGGAATGATCCTCAGGGAGGAGAACTGAAAACAGGAGACCTCCACTCACCATCTGTACTATAAGAAACTGTATTACCTTTTATTTCAATAATGCAAATACTGTATTAAAAAGAAAAAGATAAGGGGGGAAACAGTGTCCCAGTAAATACCCAGCTAGCTGTTGCTAGCAGGTCCCAGGATGGGAGTTTCACCCCAGGAGCTTTGTTACTCTGGAGATCTGAACAATGCAGGGGAACTCACTGCGGGTGCCACCCTGACACCAGTGTGGAGGACAGCACCGCAGCATCCCTCCAGGAAGTGCTGCTGCTGGTCGGTGCCAAGAGTAAGATGTGTGCTTTACCTTTTTAAGGAGATGAAAACATTTTTTTTCTTTTGAGTAGTGGCAGTGCTATACTAGGCAGACCTAAGAGACCAATACCATATTCCCATGACTTGTCCTCTCCACACTAAGCATTCTGTAAAGCGCAACTGTTAGAAAAACAAACAAAAAGCCCCTCCATAGTTCTAAATTCCTGGAGTTTTTAACCCAAAAGCTACACATTGGAAAATAGAAAATGAGCTGCCCTTTTACCTTTCCTGTTGCAATGCTTTCTTTTTCTCCCAGCAAGTATCTGGAAATGTCAGAACAGAAGGCCAGAAAGCATAGGCTGGAGGAGGTAGGCATGCAATTAGTAAACTGTGTGATTTTTTTTTCACTCATCTTTTAAAAAAAACAACAAAAAAAACCCCCGAACAACAAAAACCTCATCACCAAAAAACCCCATCTGTTTCAGTCTTCTAAATAGCTGCCTGAAAAAAGAGTATTTAAGCACTAAATCTTGCATGTGAAAAATAAGACATTCATAAGCTACCTTCTGTACCTTCTTCCAGAAAAACACAGGGGGATACATTGCAGTGGGTATATCTATACCCCTGTAACAACTGAATGATGAACTGGGAAAAGATACAGTAGACCATGGCAAGAGCCCTGGTTTATAAATTAGTTGGTAAATATTTTATCAACTATCAAATAGTTGTTGAATGACTGCCTGCAACTGACTGCGCCTCCGGAAGGGAATGGAAGCACACCTCTCCATATTGAGGGCAGAGCCCTCAGTGTTGTGTCAAGCTTTGATGAGATCTTCCCAGATCTGTAGTAAAGAGAGGAATTTATTTGGCTCACAGCTAACTCTCTTCAGTTAGAAATCGCTTCAGACCTCCACCTTGGTACCCAGGATTTTATTTTTCTTTCTGCAGTAGAATCATAGAACCTCTGAGATCATTGAGTCCAACCATTGACCTAATACCACCATGCCCACTAAACCATGTCTAGAAGCACTACATCAACATGTTTTTCAAACACCTCCAGAGATGGTGAGTCCACCACTTCCCTGGGCAGCATATTCCAGTGTTTGACCATTCTTTCGGTAAAGAAATTTTTACCTAATATCCAATCTAAACCTCCCCTGGTGGAACTTGAGGCTGTTAACCTCCTCTCCTATCACTTGTTACTTGGGAGAAGAGACTGACCCCCACCTCGCTACAACCTCCTTTCAGACAGTTGTAGAGAGCAGTAAGGTCTCCCCTCAGCCTCCTCTTCTCCAGATTAAACAACCCCAGTTCCCTCAGCTGCTCCTGATGAGACCTGTTCTCCAGACCCTTCACCAGCTTCGTTGCCCTTCTCTGGACATGCTCCAGCACCTCAACGTCCTTCTTGCAGTGAGGGGCCCAAAACTGCACATGGTATTCAAGATGTGGCCTCTCCAGTGCCAAGTACATGGGGACAATAACTTCCCTACTCTTTCTGGCCACACTATTTCTGATACAGGCCAGGATGTTCCCACCTGGGCACACTGCTGGATCATGTTCAGCCGGCTGACGACCAGTACCCCCAGGTCCTTTTCTGCCAGGCAGTACAAAGCAGTAAATTCCTTCAACATCAGTTGAAGATTTCTATGTGGAGAGGGGGCTTTTGAGACTGCTCTGAGGGCATCAACGAATACGGCCCATAAAAGAGCACTGAATAGACGGCTTCCTATGCAGAATGAGAGTGCCATCAAAGGAACTTGCCAGGGCCCTGGGAACCGTAGTCGTTTGTGGGGAAAACCCCTTGTCTCCTCCAAACTGCTTACATTTAGCAAATCAAAAATGCCTGCTAAGAAGGACATGTGCAAGCTCGTAAAAGAGAAAGATCACTAGGCCCTTACTTTTGGAAGTAAGATAATGGTACAAGAAAAGGTTGTTATCTGTTCCAACCATCTGTATGTGCATGTGCCTGTGCAAAAAGGAACAAGAAATCTTTCCCAGGCAAGTTTTATTTCCTCCTGTGTACACTGTGTAAAGGATATTTTTTTAAATGGAATATATTTATCTATGGAGCCTTCCATACACAGGGTGCATATGGCTATGGTGGATCCTCTTGCACCCCTCCAAGGAAACCTGCATGCTTGATTACCTCTCTGAAATGCCTGTATACCAACTTATGTAGCATGGGGCATTAACAGGAAGAGCTAGAGATCTGTGTGCAGTCGCAGGGCCATGATCTCATTGCGATCACAGAGACGTGGTGGGACAGCTCACATGACTGGAATGCTGTCACGGATGGCTACATACTCTTTAGGAAAGACAGGCTGGCAAGACGAGGTGGGGGAGTTGCTCTTTATGTGAGAGAGCTCCTGGAGCATATCGAGCTCTGCCGGGGCGGGGGGGATGAAGAACAAATCGAGAGCTTATGGGTAAGAATCAAGGGGGAGGCTAACATGGGTGACACTGTTGTGGGTGTTTAATACAGGCTACTGAATCAGGAAGAGGAAGTCAATGACACCACCTACAGACAGCTGGAAGCAGTCTCACATTCAAAGGTCAAAAAAAAGTTGTCTCAAGTTGATGAAAATCAGTACTTTGCCAACAAATTCTTCAGTCTACAGATATGCTGCTTCTTTTCCTATGTTTTGTGTGGGACACCTGAATATTAGCCAATGATCTTGAAGAAGATATGACTTTTTCTGTCAGAGAGGAAGAAACGAAGCTTTTTGTACATCTGCTACTTTGTAAAGTTTTTGAACAGAATTGCTGTACAGTAGGAAGTGAATGCATGTGTTTTAAATGGAAAGAACTTAATGCAAATGCAAT